TTTCCTGTCTTCCAGGAGGTTATACTGACTCTTGACCTCCAGAGGGCACCCTAGAGGTGCTGCTAAGCAGCCTGTCATGCACTGAAGTACTGTTCCAGGGTCAGTGGAACCCAATGGAGCAGGCTGGGTGGGGACGTGTAGGAGCGTGTCCCCTGTATGGTGTCTGCTGTGGCCAGGGGAGTTGATTAGCCACGTGGTTGGTAGAACACACAGCAACATAGGTATGCACAGTGGCCATTTGTTTTTTTTAATTGCACGGCAACAATGGGGATTGGGATTTAAAGGAGTTCACTAAAGGAAGGTAGAATATTGGCATTCATTTATTTAAAAAGCTTTTATTAGGTACCTCCATGCACATAAAACGACAGGTAGCAATACAAGACTGCCACATGAAAGGCATAAACAGATTACGGGCTATAGCTGCTGGAGGTAGCTTTTAACACGTATAAAACTTCTAATGAAGTGTTATGACCTATTAGAAGAATGATACACATATGATCTCTTCTTTAATGATACTGCTAAAGATGGCAATTGTGAGTTAAGTATATACTCTTAAGAGTTTTGTCCCATGGTTTTGAAGTAGGTGATTTTCTTGGCCACCAACTGACCCAACTATGAGTTTCAATCAGTGAAGCAAGTCAGGACGCTCACCTGCAAGGTGAACATTTAGAAAATCATAAATAAAATAAAAACCCTTCAGCTCGAAAGATCTCCACAGATCTTTTTTCCTTTGCAGTTGCTTTTACCATTCTTAAGAAGAGAGATAGCTTTCTTGAACTATTTGAGAACTGACCTGAATTAGTGGGCAGAAATGCAGAAAAGAACTTGTCTTGCCTTACCACTCCAAAGGGAAATGAATTGTTCTCTGGGGCCTCCACACGGGTATGAAACACGGGGAATATTCTATGCTACTACACAGCACCAACTTATCTTTTCACACATGACAGATAACACTACAGAAAGCAGTGGGCCACCACACACAAAAAAAACCTCTAGACAGATCAGTCACCTTTTATTGTGCAAAAAGGCATTCAGAGCACCCTGTGTGAATATAGCAACATGCGTCTGGGTCCGTGAGAATTTTCAGGGTGGCAACATTGTTCCCTCTTTAAATACTGTACCTTTAGTGTTTCAGATACAACTATGGTTCCCCTTTTACTGATATGTTTACAATTTCTTTGTAGAAAAAGAAGAGAGGAAGTATTACAATACGATTACGTTTCCTTAAATAATGACAGGGCAAAACGTGTGAAGTCTCACAGGAAAAGAAAACAATTACACATTCTTCATGACGCTTCCTGAAGGAAGATTTCCGGAGGAAAGACTAGACCGTGCAAAGCTGGACTTTCAAGTGCAGGCTGGTTGGTTTAAAAAGAGCACCTTTGTGAAATATGTAAGCTGGTATATTAACAGGCATTGACTTCAGGTGAAATTGTTTACTTCATGAGGACAACCACCTTCCAAAATACCTAACCGTAGCTATGAAAACTGATACGGTTGCCATAGAGCTAATGAATCAGAAACACTGGCAATGTTCTGACTGCCCAGGAAAATAACCCACTGCTGCCTGTCTTCAGAGTTGTCCCTGAGAGGGGAGAACCGAGAAGGTCTCGCCTCTGCCTTCCTTTGTTCAGTAACAAACACAGAGCTGTGACACATTGTCAGCAAAAAGGGCAACCTCAGTATTCCAAGTTCTAAGGTGCCCGGTTTAGTGTTCTCGGCAGTAACCGGTCATTCATTTTCAACATTTCAATGCTTCATGGTGAAGAGAGACTGTATCTGAGCAGCTGATGTCAGGGGAGAGTGACGATAATTTATAAGGCGTTTTGAGTCTTCTCTCCTACGACTGACACTCAGTTTTCTAAATCAATAACAAACATGCTTTCCATCTCAGGATTTCACTGTTCCTGCGTGTTACTATGGCTGCATAACAAATTACACTAAAACATGATGGCTTGAAGCACAATAGTCATACATTATACTGTGTGTCATTGCTCACTGTTTCCGTGGTTAAGAGTCAGACCAGGCCCTGAATGGACGGCCGGTGTCTGATCCGCAGCGTCCAGGGCATCAACTGGGAGCTGCAAAGGCTGGCGCTGGAGTCCCCTAAGGACCATCGACTCACACGCTAGGAGTGCAGTGGATGCTTGCTCCTGGCGGGGGGCTGCTGGGGCTCTCAGCCAGAATGTCTTCATAGAGCCCCCCATGGGGGTTGAATTTTCTCTTCATGTGGGGGCTGAGTTCTGAGGCCACATATCCCACGAGAGAGGGAGAAAGCGATGGAGCTTGTATCCTTTTTATGGCCTAATCTTCGAAGTCATGTATTTTGTGACTTACTCCCAACCTCCAGTGCTTGCCTTACTGGGGCAGTCACAAGTCTCTGCCGGAGTCAGGGGAGGGAATGCCGATGGCAGTGCTCTGTGTGAGAAGGGTAGGTCTCACTGTGAGAGCAGGGAAAGAACAGGGGAGATGTATGGGTGCGGCCACCTTGGGACAATACAGTCAGCTACACTGTGCTCCTAGGAAGATACTGGAGAGCCACCTCATGATTTACATTTTAACGTTTTATTATAACTATGACATCTGCTCATGTGGAAGTTCTAGAAAGAGAGAAAAAGTGTGCAATCTAGTCCTACCACCCAAACCAACCGCAGTTAAAAAGGATTAAATTTTTCATAGAGTACACATACACTATTTTCCCCTGTGATTTCTTCCACCACCTTTTCTCCCCAACTTTGAATGGAAAACTTGAAAGAGTAGTTCAAAGGTCACCCAATCACTTTCCACATAGATTCAGTATATATGAACATTTTGCAACACTCGCTTTATCTTTTTTTCTTACTGAACCAATAGAAAGTTACTTTCAGATATCATAATACTGCCTCTAAATATTGCTATTGCAATGCGCATCTCCTAAGAATAAAGACATTATCCTAACAACACCATTATCATCTAAGAAAAATAATAATTTTGTAATATTATCTAAAACTCACTTTATATTATGATGATTCATGATGATCTTTCATAGCCTTTATTTTTACCCCTCAAACAAGGTTAACGCTGGGCAGCTGGGGGACGTTGGCTGGTTCCCTGACCTGGCTCCTGCGCCTTGGTACCCAAGTCTGCCAAACACAGGCTTAGCGGCAACATCCTTGTCCACCCATGGAATTGTGGAGAGCATTGCATTCATTCACCTCCACCGATACAGGACTTAGTGGACACCCACTGTGTGCTGGGCATGGATGCACAAGACACATCAGTGTTCCAGACACAATAGGAAAAGAATGGGGTTTCAGGGTTCATGGGCTTTGCTGTGTAAATACTGGGAATTGTCACTTCAGGTTAAAGGACTGAAGCAAATCTTGGGGAAAAAAAAAAGAACTGCTTTGTATACAATAAAATGGATTTGGATTAAAACCGAATTACTTCTGTTCTGCGTAAGTGGAGAACGCAAATGAGGAGGTTAGCAGTACCGAGTACAGTGACCGCATGGGACTGTAGAGGATATCAAGTCACTGCACAAAGAGGACCTTCTGCTTCTGACTAAAGAAAATGACATGTGTGCCTTTCGTCACACAGTACAGGCACACCTGGAAAACAGTTTGGGCTCAGTTCCAGACGACCAGCACAAAGAAAGTGGTAATTATTTTGCTGGTAAAGATCTTGCCTCCAACTTGTAAAAAATGCAAAATCTTTGAAGCTCAGTAGAAACAAGGTACGCCTATATTTTCTCCTTTTGACTCCCTCCATTATTCATTTTCTTTGTACCAAATAAGCAATAACCGAGATTATTAGAATTCAGAGATGGGGAGACTTGCAGGGGTAGAGCTGGAAGGGGTGGAGCTGGACTATAGGTCACCTGGTCCAGATTCCACAGTGTTACAGATGAGCTCATCCGCGATCACTTCAGAGGCATTTTCATGAAACTTGAGGCTCCAGGCACACGTGGTTTCCATATGCAGAAGCCCGATTTCAAAATCCTGCACATTAGATAAGACAATGGGAAGCTCATATTATCCTAACCTTGATTCCTCATCTTGGCTCTCCTGCCGTCACTACCTTGACCGTCCTGCGAGAGCAGACTCAGTAAGATCGCCTTTGTATGACGGTGATTGTCAGTCTGGAGATCGAAGTCACGCTACCGAAACACAGTGAATCTTCTCCAACAGTATGGGCCGAACGAGCGACAGCTAAGACTTAGATCATGTTGGAGCCCTTCCCCTGGAACAGCTGACAGCTGACAGGCTTTGCGTGTTCCCGTGCTTGGCTTTAGGCAGCTGGGCAATGTGGTCAAGGAGTGCAGCCAGCACTTGGGGGTGTTCCTCTCCCGGTTGAAAGTTCTTAGCACTGTGGGCTCTCAGGGAAATGAAGACAAGCTCTTTCTGTTACTTTAGGGGTCGTCTGATTGGCAAGGGGGTCTGGCCAGCTGAGGACGGATCCAAGTCATTTGTTCACTCATATGAAGTGTCCCTGTGGTTCAGAAACAGTTGTTCTACTAAGGATGGCAGAATAAAGGACGTCAGGATTTATGATAACCCCGAAGGGCTGTCCTCTTGGGACTTCTTAGGGTCTTAGTCAAGTCCCATGTGCTACATTTACCCTGAGTGTTAGGCTTGTTTTTATAAGATTCTTTGTTTTTATTACCAAGGGTATCCCGTAGGTTTTCTTAAAATAAACAATCCGCATCTACGATTACAGTTTCGATGACCTTCTAGAATACATCAGGAAAACTACAGCTGGCAATGCCATGTTAATCCACTTGAAAACCCTGGAGTCTGCCAATGTCCTCTTACACCTCTGCGCATATGATAAGGAAGCATGTAGCGCAGCAGACAAACCCGGTCCTGAGCCAAGATTCTAGGACTGTGATAAAACCAAGCTATTGGGGGACCTTGGGGAATGCTGGTGGGGACGTCCCCTCCTAAAGCATGGCCCGGGCCTGGTCAAATCCTTTTCCTAGACTTTATGCCAGAGACTTAAACAGCATAAAAAACATCAGAGAAAGTTCATTGTTTTTAATACCCTCTGCCTGATTAAAAAGGCAAAAGTGACTTGCAATATACAGAGAAACACAAAAGAAGGCTTTTTGTTATCACCTGTACAAAATACAGGAAGACACAAGGGAAATTGTGAGTAATTTCACCCGTGGTCCTAGTTTTCATGAAGCTTCCATCGTAGGGGTGAAGGCAGCACTTGGGAAGCTAGAGAGTAAACAAAGATAGAATATGTCAGCTGGTGCTGTGGAGAAAAAGCAGGGTGAGCCCTGGCTGGGTAGCTCAGTTGGTTAGAGCGTCATCCTGATACACCGAGGCTGTGGGTTCGATGCCAGGTCAGGGCACATACAAGAATCAATCAGTGAATGCATGAATCAGTGGAACAACAAATCGCTATGTCTCTCAGTGCGGGCAGTATGAAAAGCCCAAGGTTGGGGAGCGGGGATCGGGGAGTCAGGAGGCTGAAATGCAGTGACATGAGGCTGATGGCCTGGGCTGTTATCAGGGAGGAAGGCTTTGGTATTTTCATTGCTCACTCATTTAGGGGAAAGACATTGAGCTGCAAAGAAATGTAAAAACACCGTATTGGTGGAACTATTGCAAAACTTTAAATTTGTCGTACTGTTGTCGTCTAAAGCTTCCCAAGGCACTAAAAGTCTGAAATGGTGATAGACAGGATGACTTCCCTAACTGAAGCCAGCCCATCACTGAATGGGAGGCACCTTGGCACAGACTACAACCAAGGAGTTAGAACCCCGCGCTGCTCTGAAGAGAGTCCAGCTGAGGTTCTGCCTCCACAGTTCAACCCGGCTGCACCACCGCGAGTTGTAAATGACAATACATCTCTCGAAGAATCTACTTCTCATTGACAACCAGAGGTGAATTCTCCAATGTTTGTTTTTGACAGACACCTCTTTATCTTTTTCCTGTCTTGTTCCCCTAAGTCCATGAACAGGAGAAAACGTGTATTCATTCATACATTCATTCAAAAAATTTAAAAAGGGGAAACCTACAAGGTGCTAGGTACCTTGCTGAGTACTGCAGGGGGAAAAAAGATGACAAAGACATTGTTTCTCCTCTAACAAAGCTCACAAGGCAGTCAGGAAGATAACATAGAAAGTAATCTGAGTAGAGTGCAATAGACGCTGTAACGGACCCTTGAACCCTTTCCTATTTCCAGGCAGTAGGCTTCTCCACTATGCAAACAGCGACATCGTGCATGAACTGCCTTTGTCTGGAGTGCCCCTTCTATTAACTGGCAGCCAGCACATCAGATTATAGCCATGATTATGGTGCAAAAAATTTTTTTCTCATTCATCAAGCCGGAAATATTTTGTTTCTCTTTTATATCTCAACTGTGTTCTGTTTCCTAATTATCCATGCTGATGGTTTAAAGAGAGCAGGGGAATAGATTTTATTTATTTTGTTTGCAGATGTGTCATAAAGGGTAATTTATTTTCTTCTCGTTGAAGAACATGAGAGACAGGGAGTTAGGAACCCTGGGGCTGTCTGTGTAGGTTTGCCAAAACACAATACGACTTTGAGCAAAAAAGCTTATTGAAACAAACTGCATTAGGTCATTTCTAAGGGCCCTCTGACTGCGATAATCTATGATTTATACACAAAATTATACATTAGGTGGGTTAACATTTAAACCAATGACCAGCAACTCAAAGGAAAACTTTTAACGCAGTGATGAAATATAACCCATTACTTATGAAGAACAATCCATCCAGACACTAGAGAAATATGTTCCATACTATCGCATATTGTTCTCATTTATGCAGCTTAAATAAACCATCTGATGTCCAATGAAGCACTGGCGATAGCCAATCTCTGGTAAGAGTTTAAAGCTGACTCCATGTTTTCACACATCACTGTCACAACAAATGAGGAAACTGAGGCATGCAGAGTTTCAGATCCTTATCTACGGATGCCCAGCCAGCAAAGGGTACTGGTAGAGATCAGGACTCACATTTACATCATCTCCCTCTGAATTCAGTGTTTTTGTTTCACCATGCTGCTTCTGGGAAGCTCTCAGGAGGATGTTGCTTTAAACCACATGCTGGAGGTGGGGGTTGGGGTGACCCTACTTCGTGTGTCAAGGCTGGTCTAGAATGGGGTGTGGCTCAATCAGGCTGATGTTCCTGGCCTGTGGTGATGGTCTGGGGGAAAGGAGAAGGCTGACATGAATTGGGGAACTACTGTTTCAGACCCCCTCCCCTCCAGGAGTTAGACAATAGGCAGATTTGACATGTGCCAGCAAAAAATAGCAAAGGAAAGAAATGACTCTAATTAAATAACATTAACAAAAGCACTTGGTTCTTAAGGACTCTGCCTACAGCTGTCATTGAGGGGCTTATTGAGATTTCTTCTCTGTAACAAATGGTTTTCAAATCAGCTGGAATTATACCCTCGCCTGCCAAACTGTTTTTCACACATCACTTCACTCTGTAATGCTTCTGCAACACGACTCCAAGTCTTACAGTGTCAGTGGGATTGCATTTTACTCTTTGAAATCTTCATGACCTTCAAACTGAAAGACTCTTCACCTTTCTAATCTCTCAACACTGGAATGCAAAAGGCAATTCTTACACCACAGTTCTGGTGTTCCCCACCCCACCCTCCTTCTGAAGGTTAAGGTTTCCACTGTTTACCTGCATAGGAGATACCTCCCCACCCTTATTTGCTAAAGATAAACCAAGTGTCTATTTTCCAAAAGCTGCTCCATTGATGAGGCGTGTGTCTTTGTCTGAGATCAAATTAATAGACTGCATAATTGATCACTGTGCTGATCACCCAGAGAATATAAAAGCCTCCCTACTAGGCACTCTCCCTCTCTGGGGCACGCCTACGACTTTCTTCTCCTTCATGTGTGTACCCCCTAATCTCTAGGGCCCTCATCAGACTAGGAACCCAGGGAGCAATGGGCAGTGGCAGCTCCTGCTGGGCTCACCCCCTGAACCTGCCTCCAAAGCCCCGTTTCTCTGACTTCACAATGGGCCAGAGCACCCTTGGCTGGGCCCCTTCCTGTAGTTTGTTCTACCCTAGGCCCTCCCTTGTTTCACTGTCCCCAGCCTTAACAAATGTACTCTCAAAATAGAAAAAACAAAAAAACGTCCCTACTACACCCAAACAAGTGTTGTGGGAACATGTACAGCAAGGGTGGGTTTTGTTATTCACTCTTTTAACCAAAGCACTGGATTATATTTAATATCTGAAACTGGCAGAGTGTATTAAACTTTCGTGTTCCTAATCTGCTCCAAAGGTGATGAAGGGTAGTTGCCTAACTTTAAAATTAGACCCTTCAAAATAAGAGAATGCAGGATCATAAGAACACAGACATCTGGGAGATTACAGAGCTTTCCTTCAAAACCACTCCAAACATAAAAGTGACAGGCCCTCTTTAAAAGTGTCTTTTGTCCAGCTGGTGAGAAATGAGTCTCTGACCCAACCAACTGTAGCAAATAAATGTCTGGACCCAAACCAGAATGTGAAACTAGAATATTCCCATGACCGACTAGGATACTGAGTGTTATCATAATCAGCAATAAGATACTTAAGAAAGAGTTGTTGCTCTCTTTAATACTAAAAAATTTTATTAAAATATTCCAAACAAAAAGTAAATTTAGTTTAATTATTATGTCCTGATTGCATTGCTGAGGGACGTAGGTACTGGCCTCATCAAGCTTTGTATCTCCAATGCCTTGAGGAACGAGTAGCTCATTAAAACCATTCAATAATATTTGATGGATAAACAAATAAGTGACCTGAGAAAAAAACTAAATGCAAAAGTACTACCTGAGAATTATTAGAATCCTCAGGAGGTAATTTTGGTTACATTAAAGTTTTGTATTATTTTCTTCACTAAACAGGAATTAGGTGGTCTACTCAAATAATTCACCTCTAAACCCTAAAGATCTTCTACATTTAAACTTATTTTCAGGAGAAGAATGCTCTAGAGTACGCTGAATTTTATTCTGGACATTTTACTTAGGACATCCTAGCTAACATCTTATTCCAATTTTCAGACATTTCTTGGTGAAAAATTGACACCGTGTTACATATGCTTTTCTCTAATCAAATCCAACGAATCTACCTGAAGCTTATTAAAAAACCATCCCCACAGTTTATCATTTCAACCCTGTAGAGAGATTGTTTTGACTACTAATTGAAAATGCTTTGAAAACTTAAAGCAGTATGCAAACGTCACAGTGAATACGGGTCGTGCGGGTTCCATGGGATTAAAATACACTCACGAGAAAAAATAAGGCTGAGAATCCATCTGATAAACAAGGCACAAGACATCTGTCACGACGAGTGACCTATCTCCTCACTGGAATATCAGACCTAACTGTTTTCATTTGTAATACTTTCCAACTCAGCAGAGCAGACTTTTCCTACCCGGTTTCCTTGGAGGCAGGAAGATTCAGGCAAGTGAGAGGTTCGTGACTCATGAGCATATACTGGCACCGCCAGTCACCACCAGAAGCATACAACTCTTACTTGTGCCCTACGGAATCCAGCTTGACAAGGCTCCAAGGCAAGCATGAGTCTTCAGAAACTAAAGGTTCGAAATTTAACAATGCAATGATATATGAGTACATAGCTTGTAGCCATGTCTAATAGAATTTCAAGATCCCTCGTATTACTGGTTTTCTTTGGGGCTAAGCAGCAGTGAAATCATAACTGTGATCGTTTTAGTTAAAATATACTTTTTTTTTTAAGAGAGAGAGAAGAAGGGAGGGAAAAAGAGATGGAGAGAAACATTGGTCAGTTGCCTCTTGCACTTGGCTCCAGTGGGGACCTAACTGGCAAACGAGGCTGGTACCCCCACCAGAAATCCAACGGGGGACTTTTTGCTTCGCAGGACCTTGCAAAAGTCGACCAACTGAGTTACACCCGTCAGGACAAAATACACAGATTTTTTCAAAGTAACTTTGGAAGAGGAGAGTGTAAAAAAAAAAGAAGGGAATAGGTAGAAAGGAAGATAATTTTTAAGAAGAGATTAATTGTGGCATGATGTTTATGACAAAATATTACCGATGTTCAGAGAAAGAAAGAAAATCTGTGGCTTTGGGGAGTATCATTGATAAAAATTTTTTTTCAAGGGTATATATTTTAATGACAGAAAAATATTTATATTACGTTTCTTTAAGAACTCTAAATTTGACTTAATGTCTATTTTTTTTTAAATCAAAACAAATAAAATCCACCCCTAAGTATCTGTGGCAAATCATTTAACAATCTGTTTTTTCATTTACAAAGCGAGGTCTTTGGCCTAGAGTATCTCTCGAGTCCCTTTTAATCTAATATTGTATATTTTGCTTTGAGTGGTAAAATCAATAAATATATACTCATTCACTAAACAGTTATTTTAGCCCTTATTTATATACTAGCCACTATGCCGTCCCTGGAAATGCAGTGGGGAACAAGAAAGATAATGACTCTTCACTCACCAAGCGTATTGTCCATTGGAGAAATCACATTTGGGGCACTGCTTATTATAACCAATAATCTCTACAAAAATGATGAAAATGGAACTGTTAGGACAGAGGTATTGCCTCTCTGTGCGATAAATTTGATTTTGTTTTCGTTATTAAAACATCAAGTATTCCCCCCACCCCCCCCACCCCCGCTGCTTTGCAAAACAAATGAGATCTAATCCAGAACACTACAGGGAGGTTCTAAATTTTCTGAAATCAGTTGGCTATTCCTCACTACCAGGATGCTGGATTGGTATTGAAATACTGTCTCTTGAATAAACATTCCAGATGGAAGCAAGAAGGTCCACATTATCATTTTCTAGGCCTTTTACCAAAATAATGAACGACCACATGTGTAGAAAGGAAGTGAAGTGAAGTGAAGTTCTGAGCTGGGTATGTACTACCCTTTAATCTTTGCAACAGCTCCACAAGGGAAACAAATAGTAGCATCCTTTCTTTTTTGATGAGAAAACAAGCTAGAGAGTGAAGAAATTTGATTACAGTCATGCTGCTAGAGTAGTGAAAAGAATGAAAATCGGTTTGTCTGGCTCCAAAAGACCATATTCTTTCTACTACACAATGCTTCCTCCGGAAAAGTGGAGCTCTGAAGCCGAGTTGACCAAAGTTCATGGTATGGAACACTAATAAGGCAAGATCTTCCACAAGCCTAAATGGATTCATACCATGGTCAAGTAACTTTTGGAATGCCAAGCATGTTCAAGGCAGTGAACTAGTACATAAAAGAAATGTTTAATTTTATTTAATCAGCTTTCCCCCAATCTTCTTTGATGATTAAACCCAGGTTTGTTTTTTTTTTCACTTAACATTATTAATGTCTCTTGAAAACAACTTAAATAATTTGGCATATGCTTAGTTAAATGACTGAAAGGGGGAGGCTTGAATGAGAGTTTCAAATTGGAAATTCAAGCTTACAAAGCAATTCAAATGAAAAACTAGGTGTTATGAGGGAAGGATTTAAAAAAGTTTAAGATACAGTCTGTGCTCTCAGTGTAGCTAGGAGATGGGGGTCGTGGGTGGATGGAGTCAGAAGCAAAAAGGGAAACAGACGTAAAGGAATCACGGACATTTTCACTGCAAGTACTTAGTGATTAATGTGGGCGGAAGGTAAAAGGAAGATTTGGGAGAGAATGGAGGCTTGAGCTGCACCCTGACCGGTATTAAGATTTCGATAAGGGGATAAGAGGCTGGGAGACACAGAAAAACAAAAATATGTTTGGAGAAGAATGAAGAAATGATTTTCAGGAACTATGTAGGTAAGTGGAAAAGGCAGGGCTCATCCAGATTATAGATAATCAAACAGAAACCATTCTGTTGGTAATAACGGAAAGGGATGATTAAAACCTGGAAGATCAATTACAAAGTTGATTAACCTAGATATTAAGTGTGATGAGACAAATTTTTGGATTTTACAATTGGCAGGGCCCTTACAGCCAAATTAACAAATGTCTACCTAATGAATCAGTAGATCTTCTAATCCACTTACTCTTGCTCATCTGATAACATCAGCCCAGAGGTCACTTAGTTTTCCTCACCTCACACAGCTCACTAGCAACATACTTGGGTTGGAAACTCATGTCTTTGGACTACCAAGAAGGACAGGACTCACGAATTGAGCATAAAATGGTACCAAAGAAAGTGCAGAATGGGGAGCACAGCAAGGACATAAATCAACACATTGAAAAGGTCCATTTAAAATAAACAACCAAAAACCTCTTTTAACTCCTTCTTTGCAACAACTTAGTCCAGTCAGTACTTTTTGCAAACAAGTATGTTATGCTTAGAGGTTTCTGCCAGTTAAAAAACAATCATAGAAAAAAACTGCATTTGTAAAAGACAACATACCTCAAAAAACACGAGAGGGTTAACAGGAAAAGATAAGCTTTTTTAAAATAAACTTCTTTTTTGATTAAAAAAAAAAAAAATCAGCCTGCCCTGGATGGTGTGGCTTAGTGGTTTGAGCTTCAGCCTGCAAACCAAAGTGTCACCAGTTCAATTCCCAGTGAGGGCACGTGCTTGGGTTGAGGGCCAGTACCCCAGTAGGGGGTGTGTGAGAGGCAACCACACACTGATGTGCCTCTCTTCCTCTTTCTTCTTCCCTTCCTCTCTAAAAATAAATAAATAATCTTAAATTTTTTCTTGCAGCAAACCAGTGTGTCTGCTACAGCACACCTGTAGAAAATCGCTGCTTTATTCCTTTAAAAAAATCGGCCTGCTTGAATCGTCTCTACCTCACGTTATAGTCCTTTTATTTGGTATTCAGTATTTACTATTACCTATACATACCATATCTATTTGTTTGAAACGTGTATGAAGCTTCAAAGATACTAACAACAAAATAACAACAAAAAAGCTCCATAATAAAACTCAAGGGTGACCAAAAGGTAACACTGATTTGAAAGCACATTCCGGTATTCCCGCATTAGTTTGGTGCTCACCTTTAGCACCAGAAGTAGGAGCACAGAGAAAGAATAACACCGAGGGCAAATGGGGTTGCCAGCAGGGCAGAAAATAATCACTTGTCCGCCAGCAAGTGCAGCCAGACGATAATGTAGCTACTCTCCCGCCACAGACGTGACGCCGCGGGATCAAAAGGCAGGCGGAGCCCGCCCAGCGCGACTACGGTTCCCGACACTGCGCAGGGCCCACGGTCTGGTAACCCCAGCCATTCAGCGCCCAAGGCATTGTGGGAATCGTAGTCTTTGTTCCCCTCAGCTCTTTGGAGGCGGGCAGATCCTGTTTTATCTAAAGCACTGCCCTTCCCGACCCTACTTCCCTTTCCTCCCTTTTCTTTCCCCCACCTTCCACGCGGAGTTTAAAAATTCCCGCGGCGCTGCACGCCCCCACCGCCAAAGCCAGAACACTCGCGAGAACTCGGGTCTCCGCGCCGCGATCTCCTTTCGGTCTCCCCCTCCCTCGCCGCACTGCCTCTTCCCTCCCCTCCGGGGCGTGTGGGACTCGCTCCGTCTGCCCTGGGTACTGCGCAAAGGAGGGCCGGCGCTGTCCAAGCGGAGGAGGCAGAGTCGCGTGGGGGAGGACCCGGAACCGCGGCGCGGGCAGCGTCTGCGTTTCAGTCGCTGAGCGGTCAGCCGGCCCGCAGCTGGCGCAGGCAGTCTCGGGCTCTAAGGTGGTCGGTCCGGGAGGACGTCGGCGGAGGCCCGCGAGAAGAGAAGCCGCTTCCGCGCGGCGGAGGTGCGCGCCTCCTGCCCGTGGCGATCGTGTCTCCCGGGAGATGCTGTGACGGACCCGCGCGGGAGGAGCTCACGCCTCGCGCCCCACTGGACTCGGCGGCCCCGGCGGCTCGGTCACCCGCCTTTCCCAGGTAGGTAGGGGGAAGGGGAGGAGGGTGTTGGGCTCCTGCGGCGGAGGGCGGGTCTGCGCGGCCTGGGCCCCGAGCCGCTGCCCGGCAGCTCTCGCAGCGCCCTGCCCGCGGGGCCCGCCTCGTGCCGGGCCTAGGCCGGGCTTTCACCCGCCCAACCGGCGACCGCGTCCCGGCTGCGGACCGGGCCCGAGGGGGCGAGCGCGAGCGTTGGCGGTTGCAGCACGCTTGAGACTCGGCTTATGTAAGCTGCGGTTCGGGCACATGGCGGCGGAGACGCGCTTCGGTGTTTATTCCGCGATGGCAGCCAGGACCTCACGGTCTTTCGGTTCGACCTGGGTGGGATCTCCTCCCCTGGGGACCACCGAGGGCATTTTGAGTTGGTTGTACGATGGTCTGTACTCCACTTGCTGCTGGACTTGGCTCGGGTGAGTCCAGGGCTGGGAAAAAGTTTGACTCGTGATTTAAAAGGTACGGTGACTTGGTCCGGGGACGGAGATTTAAAACCACCGTACGTCTTGAAGTGGGTATTAAGTGGCTCTCACATGTTAACAGCCTGGAGAGTTAAAATAACCGTACACCTTGGAGTGGGTATTAATTTGCCCTGGATCCACCTGGAAATTCTAGGACAATAACTTTTGTTAATGGTTGACTTTTGGGGGGGAAGTTTATTTGTAAGAGCTGTTCTTTCTTTCTTTTTTTTTGAATAGACAGTTGGAGAAGTATTTGGAAGAACCTGGGTCCTTTAGGATAAAATATAAGTCTCTTGGAAACTGTAAACTTCATTTTATTTTCAAATTATCGTAAGGAACCAGGAGATTTGAAGAGCCTCTATCATGAACTATCACTGAGTGGGCCTGTGGGGAGAGAATAAATTAGGATAGGTTTCCTTATTCGTAGTATTTAGCCAGGGATAGCAAGCCCAGCTCCCATGAGTGCTTGAGAGATGCTCCGTGTTAAGCGCTAAAAAGACTGCATCTTTCTGTACCGTCGCTTTTGATACTAATTTTTCAGTAACCTAGTACCAAAGTGTCACCAAAGTGCACAACAGCAGTAATTATTTTTCTAAAGATTCTTAGGCGGCGATTTTGTGACAGACACCTCTGGATTTGAGAGGAAGCCAAACTTTGTTTCTTTCTCTCCTAACCTTGAACCTTTTTGGGAAGTCTTCCCTGGGAATGCTACCTGCCTGCCCGGGTTTAGGACCGTAGTCTCTGCAACAAGGCTCTTCTGTTCAGCCTGAGCAAGTCACACACTACACTTCAGCTACTCCAGAATGATGATCCTGGGCCCATTTTCTTAAAGATGCACTTTGATGTTCTTTGCTCATGTCTTTTCAGCCTCTCTGCCTTTTTTCAAGATCTCAAATTTCAAATCCTTTTTAGTGTAAATACCATCTTTTCTATGCACTTTCATTTCTCTTTATTCTACTTTCCTGGGATCTTACAACATCTATATTGAATACCTCCATCATGGCATTTATTTGCTCTGATATTCTAATGGGTATGTATCTCCTCTTCAGAATGTAACTCCTTTAGTTCAGGAAGTAGGTGATCTTTCTGCCCCTACATTCCTTTTCCAGTACAATGTTTTTAAAAGTACTTGGGGATTACTAAATGTTTGAGTTGGAAAAAATCACCTGCTAAAAAGTTCTAAGTTCTGGGTCCACTGTTTACATTTAAATCATAATTGTCTTTTTGAGTCAAAAAGAAAATATAAATCTGCACAAAATATTTTGTAGAAATGTTTGCTCAGTGTAAGTTGCAGTATAAATTACTGAACACCTAGATGAACAATTAGTTTTACATTCTGTAGTGGAATTTAGCCACATTTGAGGTTGTGTATTCTGTATTAATATCATTCCTAGTAATTTTGCTTTGCTTAAAACTGAAACTGTATATTTAAAAATAAATTAGGCCCAATAATTGAGGGTTTTTTTTTTTAGAGCAGTTTTAGGTTCATAGCAAAATTGCGTGGAAGGTACAGAAATTTCCAGTATAGCCCATTCTCTGCCTCAAGTCATGCATAGCTTCCCCCACCCAATCAGATGGATGCTGAACGTACATCGATATGTCATTGTCCATAGTTTACATCAGGGTTTACTCCTGGTGGTACACATTCCGTGGGTTTGGACAAGTGTATAACGGCATGTATCCGCCATTAGTGTCAAAGTAGTTTCACTGCCCATGAATCTTGTGTTCTGCCTATTCCTCTCCCCCTCTCTGCTAACCTCTAGCAACCACTCATCTTTTTACTGTTTCCAGTTTTGCCTTTTTTCAGAATGTCATATAATTGGAATCATGCAGTGTGTAACCTTTTCAGATGGGCTTCTTTCAGTTAGAGATAAGCATATAAATATCCTCCATGTCTTTTTGTGGCTTGACAGCTTTTTTTGTAAGCACTGAATAGTTGTTGTATGGATCATACCACTGTTTCTCGATTTACTTACTGAGGGGCATGTTGGTTGTTTCCAGGTTTTGATCATTATAAAGCTGTTATAAACATCCGTGTGCAGGTTTTTGTGTACACATGTTTTCAGCTCCTTTGGATAAATACCAAGGAATGCAATTGTTGGGTCATACGGTATGAATATCTTTAGTTTTGTAAGAAACTGTCAAACCGTCTTCCAAAGTAAAGGTACCATTTCGTATTCCCACCAACAGTGAACGAGAGTTCTTGTTGCTCGACATCTTCACGGCATTTGGTATTGTCAGTGTTCTGTATTTGGCTAAAATACTAGAATTCCACTCTGAGAAAATGTTTTTCTAGGCTGAGCATGTTTTCTGCAAAAGAGCATGTACATGTTAATTACCTTCAATTTACAATCACTGCAGTTCTGCCAACACACAGGTAATGCTCAGATCACCTAAGCCGTGATGTTCTGAATGTTGTTAGTTATACTAATTTCACTAACTGCCCAAGATTTGCTGGGATAAAATTCACTGTCACTTGAATCATTTGGCTGCTTTTGAAGATGAAGTCCAGAGAGCTCTCAAATGATTCTTTCTTGGGATTGCTTTCTAGACATTAGTAATTAGCAACAGGTCGCCCTGATCCTGTCTAGCACCACCGGCAATCACAAATGACAGGAGAGGAATCGCTTCACTTGCTTCAGGCAGAGCAGTTCCGTTGTTCCGTGTCTCACACTGTAGCCATGAGAAAAATCCTACTCTGGGTCCAGGGCAGCTGATACAGTGTTACTGCTGGTTAGTGTCTTCTGCAGGGTCTGTTTCATCCTCAGAAACAAGGTTTTGCCTGTCGTATTTATAGAAATTTCATCATAAAGATCCTTACACTCGACATCTTAAGAGGATTGTTTTTGTATTATCTTTTTAAAAGTCCACAGGCAACACTTTTAATTCATTTTAGAGCTCCATTCATTACTTTTAAGCTGCAACCTGCAGGTCTGCTTCTGTCTCATTGCCAAAGGCCTGAGGCTGCTTACTATCACTTTAGACTGGGACAGAAGCTGCTGTGACTTCTTGATATTTTTGTTTTGTTTTTTCTGTTGTTCTGTTTGTTTTAATCCTTGCCCAAGGCTATGCTCACTGATTTTTAGAGAGAGAGAAGCTTCAATCTGTTGCTTCCTGTTGTGCCCTGCCTGGGGGTGGAACCTGCAACCTTTTGGAGTAGGGATGACACTCCAGCCAACTGAGCTGTGTTTCTCTCAAGACATATACTATGTGGAGCGTCTTTTCATGTGCTTGTTTGCTATCTGTATATCTTCTTTATTGAGATGTCCGTCTAAGGTCTCTGGCCGTTTTTAAATGAGGTGGTTTTCTTGCTGGGTTTTAAGAATATTGAGATAGTTTTTTTTTCCTTTAATTGAAATTATTGCTTAATGCGTCTATTCCTGACCCTGCTAGTATTTTGCTGTCCTAATTTACCACGTTTATAACCTATTCATTGCAAGTCGTTGTGACCCTCTGGAATTCACAGGAATAAGAGGTGATTTTTGCCTTTTAGAAATTCATAGTATAATAGAGAAGACAGGCAAACACGGGTAATGAATTTTAAAAACTACATTTGGGTTGCTAACACAAAGATGAAAAGAAGTGATCTTAGAGATGAGATTAAATATGAAATTTCGGAAGCTGTATGCAGACCGCACTGGGAATCTCATCTGTGTCTTGGGCTTTGGCCAGTGGAGGTAGAAGGAGAAACAGCATAAATAAAAGAATGAAGGGGTAGGCTATAGCAGACTGAGGAAGTAGGTGGTTTGTAAAGATAATCTGCCACTTCCAGAGTGTGGAGAGCCTTGATTGCCTCTGGCTGAAGACGTTCCTTCTAATATGCAGCAGGGAGTCATTGAAGAGTTTTGAGAAGGGGAGTGATGTAAGCCGTGTGTGCACTGTCAAGAAAATATTTAAACGTTTTTACAGTGGCAGCCAGCACATTGTTCTTGCTGTGCCTATCTAGACCTTGAGAAGTTGAAACTTGGTAAGTTACTTTTTAGAGGTTGTATGTCACAAAAGCTTTTTTCTTTTGGAACTTAAATATGATGTTTCACTGTCATATGCCTTGCATTGTTTTCAATGAAAAGTCTCCTGCCGTTGTTGTGTTTGTTCCTTTGCGTGGGGTGCTACATTTAAGATCTCTTTGTCCCTTGGTTTTGAAAAAATTTTGGTGGAGTTTTTCCATGTTTCTTGGGCTTTGAGGTTCACTGACCTTTTTGGATTTGTGGGAGTATAGTTGTCATCAAATTAGGAAAAAAGTTGACCATTTGTTTTTCAACTATTTCAGTCTTCGCCTTTTGGAGATTAGTGTTACAAATATTAGGGCATTTGAGGTTCTGCTACAGCTGGCTTTTTCCTTCTGGCCCCAGCCTTTCTTCTCTCTCCGATTCGCTTTAGATAGTTTTCACTGTGGATGCTTACATTGACTACAACTTTCTGTGTCTAATCTGTCAATCTCATTCAGTGAATTTATCATCTTTAGAAATTCGATTTGGTGTTATTCATATCTTCCAGATCTTATTAACATGCCCATGCTTTCCTCTCTTG